CCCGGCCCGGCCCGGCGGGCGCTGCCGCCGCTTCCACAGCCCTCGGCCTGAGGGACCTGACCTCGGTCCTGAGGGCCCTGCCGCCCGGCTGCCGCCCGGAGGTGCCCGGTGGAGGTGGAGGTTGTGTAGCTGCAGCCTCCGGAGGCCGGCGGCGCACCGCGGCCGTACCGACTGAGGTGAGCTCCCGCGGCAGGCGGGCCGCGGACCGGCTCTTCCCGAGTCGTGCGAGGAGGGAGCGTGGGCACCTCCGAGGTGACAGGGCCTTGCCGGCCCTGAGGCAACTGCGGCAGGGAGGCCGTGGGAGCCAGCGTGCCCCATCACCGCCGGCCGGCACCCAGCTGCTCGGCTGGGCGGGTGTTCCTGCTCGGATTCCGTGTTTCTGGCTTTTACGTGTTGCCTGTTCCTGAATAAATTACTGTTAGCATTTTAATCAGTCGTTTAATCGTGCAGAGTGAGTTCACCTCTGGGCCGGTCACTTTCATCTGAACTTAGAAGGAGGCAGAAAGCAATTCCACGTTTTACTGCGGAGAAGTGGGAAAGGGCAGCCCACGGTAGGACAAAGATTTACACACAACATCGGGCGATATGCATTGTACAAAAGGGGGAGATAAGCAAAAAGACATACGCTTCACAGAGGAAACAAAGACAGGGGCAGAGCTAGGGGAAAGAAGAAAAATGAATGGCCTCACGCAAGAAGAACTGCTGTGTTCTGTGCATACAGAAAGTAGGAGGAGAAGCACACAGCATTTAGGATGAAGACAGCGCAGACTATGCCATAAAAAAACAAGGCCAGAGAAGACATGCTGCACATTGTCTACAGTGGTGAAGCTTCACCTGTTTTCAACTACTATTTTTATCAAGTTCGAGTATTGATTTTTATTAGTCTGATTAGTCATTCCTCAGGGAAAACTCTCATCAACTTCGTGTAGAATACTTCAACTAGCATACACTTACATTGTTTGACAGTCCCGTCAGCATAAGTATCCCTACGCTGTTCCAATAATAAACACAGTCAGTTCTTGGAAAAAAACGAAAAATACATTATGGTATCCTAGCCTGCTTCCACCTACAACAAAAGGTTTTTAGTCATCCACTATTACCATGTTGGGTACACTCTAAACATAACAGTTAGGAAGCAATCATTTATGAACACCAATATCTACTTGTTGAAACATGAAAACCAAGATCGAGAATAAAATTCATCCTCAAAGAAGAAAACAAGTGAACAGTGGACCTAATGAAGTGTGATTTCTGTGAATGTGTCCCATATTCCTGCTGCCACTCAGCAACAAGAATCCCCAGTCATCCATTTTCTTACAACTCCTCCCCTCCTCTCTCATTATCAGTTCAGTTCTTGCTCTTTGGCCATTCTGCACTGTTGTGTTTCCTGTAATTACTTCTCACGCCCCTCCATTTTAAGCAAGACAAGTGACAGGGTATACTGCGGCTGGTTACTAGCTTTCTACATGCTAACAGCTTAGCCAGTACATGCATGCCAACTGCTAGACAGGAAACCATATAAATGGCTAACTGTATGTGAGAGACTGAAAGCGTTAATGTCTCAAACACCGTGGTGGGGCAAGTTCTGCTTGAGGACTACCTCAGCCCAGCAAGGAGCGGCAGGGGAGAAGCAGCCGATCAGCACCGGCCACCAGCAGCAGGAGGGGGAGGCCGTGCCGGAGGGTGCGCAGCTCCCTGTTCCGAGAACGCTGCTTTGGGTCAGCTGAGCAGGGCAGCTCACCGTGCATGGCAAAAGATCACTTCTCCAGGGAGGGGGAGGTTGCTCCCCAGGCGACCCCCAAGCCCAAAGGCTCATAAACTGATCGGGACACCTAACGGGCCTGAGGAGTTCGGTGCCCGCCCGAAGGAGGGGAAAAGATGATAACGAGGACACAAACTGGAGCCCCACATGCCCACGCCCGTGGGCCGACTAGACCAATGCTGGACCCAGGGCCAGCGAAATCTTTCTCTCTTCCTTTTTCTCCTCCCTGTCTTGTTCTCTCTTTTCCCTTTTCTCTCCTTATTCCCTGAATTGATGTATATATAAGGTTACCATGGGTTACACAGATTACTGAGGTAGTTTTATGCCAATTCCTGTTGTGAGAAGCCACACCACCTACTGTTAAGCCTCCCAAATTCAGTTTGCTTCTGTCATGAATAGAATGTTTAACTGATCGTTTGGTGTCGTTTCACCTTAATTTAGCCCGAGGGAATTCCGAATTCAACACGGCTTCCTGCTCTGTCCAGTACACGTCCTGACACTGTAGAGTTCATGCTCAATGGAAGTGCTGACTTTGTTTGCTTTCTCCTGTACATAGCTGCTAATTTTTGCAGAACTTACAGATATCTAAGTGTGTTGAAGATGGTCACCAGACTAGTAGAGATGAAGAAAAAGTGGAGGCATTCAATGCATTTTTTGCCTCAGTCTTTAATAAAACTGACAGACCGTGGGCTGCCCAGTCCCCTGAGTCAGAGAACCACGAGTGTGGGAACAGTGACTTTCCATCTGTGGACACTGAAACTGTCAGGGACCAGCTGTATTAGCTGAATGTCCAGAAGTCCACGGGGCCTGGTGGGATTCATCCCAGGGTACAGAGGGAGCTAGCGGATGTTATGGCAGGACCCCTCTCGATCATTTACCAAAGGTCTTGGGAGTCTGGGGAGGTCCCTGCTGACTGAAAGCTAGCCAGTGTTAGTCCAATTTACAAAAAGGGTGTGAGGGAAGACCCAGCGAACTACAGACCTGTTAGTCTAACCTCAGTTCCTGGAAAAATTATGAAGATCATACTGGGTACTATTGAAAGGTATTTAAAGAATAATGCAATCAGCAGGCACAGTGTGATATCCTTCTATGATAAAGTCACCCGCCTAGTGAATGAAGGGAAGGCCGTGGACGTAGTTTTTTAACTTTAGTAAGGCTTTTGATACTGTCCCTCACAGCATCCTTCTGGACAAGTTGTCCAACTGTGGGATGAGGAGGTTCATGGTGTGCTGGGTGAAGAACTGGCTGAAGGGCAGAATTCAAAGGGTTGCAGTAAATGGAGCTACATCTGGCTGGTGACTGGTCACCAGCAGTGTTCCTCAGGGCTCAATTCTAGGGCTGGTTCTGTTCAATATTTTTATCAATGGTCGGGATGCCGGAGTTGAATTCACCATTAGCAAGCTTGCTGATGATACCAAACTGGGAGGTGATGTTGACTCTCTCTCAAGGGACAGGAGGCCTTGCAGAGAGATTTAGATAGACTGGAGCATTGGGCAATCATCACTGGCATGGAATTTAACAAGAACAAGTGCTGGATTCTGCACCTGGGATGGAGTAATGCCGGGCACAAGTATAACTTGGGAGAGGAGTGGCTGTGGAGCAGCCCTGCAGAAAGGGATCTGGAGTGCTGGTTGACAGCAGGCTCAGCATGAGTCAGCAGTGGGCCCTGGCAGCCAAGAGGGCAAACCACGTCCCGGGGTGCATCAAACACAGGATAACCAGCTGTTCAAAAGAGGGGATTTTTCTGCTTTATTTAGCATTGGTGCGGCCTCACCTTGAATACCGTGTGCAGTTCTGGGCCCCACGATTTAAGAAGGTTGTGAAGATCCTTGAACGCATCCAAAGGGGGGCACAAAGCTGGTGAAAGGGCTGGAAGGCATGTCCTGTGAGGAGCAGCTGAGGACTTTGCGTTTGTCTAGTTTGGAGAAAAGGAGGCTGAGGGGCGACCCTGTTGCTCTCTACAGCTTCCCAAGGAGGGGAAGTGGAGACGGAGGTGCTGAGCTCTTCTCCCTGGGATCCAGTGACAGGACACCTGGGAATGGCTCAAAGCTGTGCCAGGGGAGGTTTAGACTGGACCCTCGGAAACATTTCTTTACTGGGAGGGTGGTCAAGCACTGGATCAGGCTTCCTAGAGAGGTGGTCGATGCCCCAAGCCAGTCATTGTTTAAGAGACATTTGGACAATGCCCTTAATAACATGCTTTAGCTTTTGATCAGCCCTGAAGTAGTCAGGCAGTTGGACTAGGTGATCATTGTAGGTCCCTTCCAACTGAAATTCTGTTCTATCCTATTCTGTTCTGTTGCAGAGTTCCTTCCTTCTGCCAAATTTTTGCTAAAAACAGCTAAAGGTTCAAAAGCATTAGGAAGGAGTGCTCATAGACATGTATGCAGACAGACTGATGGACAGACAAGCCAAACTCAGATACTTTGAGGCAATGATGTGAGTTATTCAGAAAGATCAGGATAGGCTACTGTTTGTAGACTACCTCTACAATCCCTCAGCAGCAGATGATACAGCTCTTCAAGTTAGGCTTATATTGAAAATCATCCTCTTAAGGAATCCACTGCACACACCCAGAGATTGGTATAGAAGGGAACAGGAGAAATTAGGCACCAAAGATTAAAATTAGCCTCTCTGAATACTCTTCATGGTGCATCAACCCATCACTCCATGGAAATACAAAGAGTTTTGGCAGAAAATGTCAGTCTAAATGGAAGAATACTACTACTGTGCAACCACCTTGAGTTTGTATCCTCAGCTGGGGAGCAAGAGTGAATTCTTCCTGAAGACTTGCTTTGCTGATTGATGATTATAGTCCAGTAAAGACATAATCCAAAAGTCCATGAAGTCTAACAGTTTCTTTCTAATGAATTTTAAATGGATGCATAAGACACCTCCGTATCACTGATGCATCCATGCTATCTTTCATACTCTATTCAAAAGACTAAACAAACACATAAATAGAAAGATCTTTTATGTGAGCTGAATGTAAGCATTTACAATTTTGTAACATTTTTAATCTTCATAGTATTCAGACCAAGCTTTTTTCTCAGGAAGCCAAACTGTAGCTGCAGGTACTGATGCTGTGCCCAGTAAGGACATACAGAATACCACCATATCAAG